TTGAGCTCTTGTACCTTCTAGCTTTAACTCTTCTTTCTTCGTTCAGGCGCTGCGCCAGGCGCCCAACAACTACCTGTCCAGGACCTGGTGGAACCCGGTCTTCAACTTCCTGGAGCGGAACGTGCAGACGACGGTTCCGGTCGTGTTCTCTTGGCCGCTGGCGTTTCCATCCTGCAGGCAGAGGTACCGGATCGTGGAGGGGGGGAGGGACGAGTGAGGACGGGGGAGGAGAGAACCGAGCCGAGCCGATGGGAACGGATCCATCTGGACGGTTTATTTATCAGAACCAGCTGACAGAGGAGGAGGAGGAACCAGAACCGTGTTACTACGTTTACATCTTCAGCATCTTTTATCAGTGAAATTCATCCTTATGCCAAACATCAGTGTCCTCACCTGGCCTCGGAGCTAAACCGCTAGCTAGTTAGCCACATGCTAGGTCTTCATCAGAAACAGCCTTTTTTTTCATCAGTAATACTAAAGTATGAAAACGTGTCTAGTGTCTGTGAAAGGTTAAAATAAGTATTTGTCTCTCGTTTGAAGGCTAGCCAGAGAGTTGATTCCGAGCTAAACTGCTAGCTACGCTACATTCCCAATGTAGTGTAGCTCTTGGCTAGCTCGTTATGCAGAACTGTTTGTTTGATGAATGACTGCTACTGCTAGCCAAACACATGTAGCACGCACACAAGGCACATGAAGCATCAGCAAACACACAAGCTGAGCTACTTCAGGCAGGACAAAGAAAACAACTTTAAATACTGCAGTTTGGATGTAAGCTAGCTAGGTTGGACCAAGGCTAAACAGCTAGCTATGCCTCATTTCTGATGCTAGCTCTGTGAAAAGTGAATGTGCCACTACCCAACAAGGACAACTGAGACTAAATGTTTAAATATTGAGATTATTCTATGTGACTGTGATGTCTGTAAGCTAGCCAGCTCGCTAGCTAGCCAACCTCCAGTATCTAGGGCTTAAATGTTCCTGGTGCTAACGCCACATGGCTCACAGGCTGTGGATAAACGATGGACGCAGACTTGAAGTTAATTAGCTCTGTCTTGATCTGTTACCTCTGTGAACATCTCTGACGAGTGTCTGGTTTATTCGGTAAACGACGGTCACGATAAACCAGATCTCATCACGTCGCTCCGTCCATCGTTTAGAAACAGTCCGACTCGTCAGCGTGAGCTCATGGGTGTTGCTGTTCGTCTGTTTCTGTGCTCGTCTGTTATTTAAGTTAAAGTATTGAAGCCTGAAGCCTCAGCGGCGGCCTTTTATATTGTTGTTAAAGAAAAACTGTCTGCAGACTCTGACTTCCCACCAGAAGCCGCGTGAAGGCGTCGCATCGCGTCTGCTTCCATAATAAACGACTTATGTTCAGCTCACGTCGCTGGTTTTTCTGTTCTTTATTTAAAAATAACTTTATTGACATCAACAAAGTGACGACATGAGACAGGAAGTCAACCTTTTGTTATTTATTTGTACCGTTGGAGCACCGACAGAACTTCAGTGTGGTTTTTGTTGTTTTCAGGGTTCTTCACACGGTTCTGTTCATCCGGCTGCAACAAACAAACAAACGACAGAGTGTTTATTCACAACAAGCTCACGTTCATCAATTTACACATGAACACACCAACGTTCAGGATTTTGTCACAGACGACCATTTACTGTTGAATTCATGTAGTATCGGATTCGTTTTGAGCCACTTTGACCGAATGTTGAGTGGTTCTGATCCAGCTTTTTCCATAATATACAAACTTGGAGCCATATTAAACCCATTTTTGTGACTTTAAACACATGTCGATTCATTTTGTCATCAAGTTTTTGTGTCATTCTTAAAGATTCTGTCGTGTTTTTGTCGCATTAGACTAATTATTTGTCATGTATGGCTCCTCATTCTTTTGTTTTAATTACGTTTTTTTTCATGTTGGAGGATTTTTGAGTCATTTCGGACAAATTTCTGTCACATTCTCCACTTGTTGAGTCGTTTTAATCACGTTTTTATTCCGTTTTTGTCACATCAGACGAATCTTTGGTCAGTTTTCAGGAAGTTGTTTCATCTTCTAGACATTTTGAGCCCGTTTTGTGACTTTAAACACATTTCGATTCATGTCAAACGTGTTTTCATCACTTCTGAGTCGGTGGCGGATGTTTAATAAAAACGGATCAGACCGAGTTCTAAAAGCTGGACTGACCTTTTAGTGTCTAAAGACAGAGCGTGGAGCTGCAGCAGCTTCCTGTCGCCTGCTGGTTCTGGTTCTGGTTCTGCTTCCTCTTCCGTTTGCCCTGAAACAGACGACCAGGAAGCTCCGTCACAGCTCTCAGAGTGCGGTTAATGTGGTTGGTGCAGGCCGTGTACGTACGTAGTTGTCTCGGGCCGACCAGCCGGGGTACAGCTTCATGTGCAGGACCCTCTCCTTCTGGGCCAGGTCGTAGTACTTGGACTGCTCGGAGCGGGGCAGGGCGTTCCACTGGAACACAGAACCGTCACAACAACAGGAAACGTTCACTGATCCGTAACGTCACCGTTTGTGGCACCTTGTTGCTGCATTTAAAGCTTATTTAATGTTGTACACTGTTTAAAAACCCCAAAAAATCTGAGGATATTTCTGCTTTGGGTATTTATTTTTTCTGCTAAACTGTACAAAAAATAGAACGATTTTAACTTTTTTTCATATTTTATTTATGTATTTATACCGTATTTATTGCTATTTTATGTGTTGTCCCCATTTTTTGTAAAAATATAAAATATTCAGTGAAATCACAGAAAAATAGGATTTAATTAAACATTTAAAGTAATTTTAAAAACTGTTGAAAACTCTTAACACTTAAAAATCTGCATTTCTACTCGTAGTAATTTGTTTATTTAAATTATTATTTTAAATATTTGAGGCTCTTTTCATCATTAACTCAGTTTTTGAACGTTTTATTGTTTTTTTTTTGTTTTTTTTTTACTATTAACTGCCTTTTGTTTATTTATTTTTTCCACAATTTACAGATTTTTCCTGATTTCTTACATGAAACAAAAATAATTATTAATTTATATGTTGACTGTAAAAGAAAAGAAAAAAGAAGCCAAAATATTATGTTAGATTTATAATAAAATAACCTCCAAAAGTTTTTGTTTTACAACTAGACTCATGTGTTCCTCCATTTTTAAATAGATTTTTTACAGTGTACGCTGCCAAAGTAGGAATGTTTTTAACAGTCTAAGTCTTTTTTATTAGTTAGTTTTGTTCTGTTACAGGGTTTTTTTTGTTTTGTTTTGTTTTTCAGGTTTGACTGCGTTGTGTCTCTGAACTCAGATCATCTGAGTCTGCTGTTGATCTGAGGGGACGTTTTTATATTTTATTTCTGTGGTCCAATCCAAATCTGTTACCGCGAAACAAAACAGGAAAATAGTCTCCTCGCTCTTATCGAAGGGGAGCAAAACATAACCAGTTTGTCAGCTGAACATGTGTAGCTCGTTCTTATTTTTTATTTTATTTAATTTTTTTAAAAAGAAAGAAAATAAGAAGATAGTCTGTTATGAATTACAACAACATCCCTGTGATGTCACGGTGACATCACGGTGACGTCACGGCGTCCTACCCGGCGCCCCAGGATGCGGTTGATGGCGGCGCTCTCCCGCTGCCCTCCCTCCTGAGCCACCGACTGTCTCATCTCCTTCATGTAGAGCATGAAGGCGTTCAGAGGCTTCTTCACCGCCGGCCGGCTGCTGGGACACACAGACAGAGTCACTACTGCAGTACTACTGTAGTACTACTGCAGTAGTACTACAGTAGTACTACAGTAATACTACAGTAATGCTACTACAGTAATAGTATTACTGCAGCAGTGGTGGTTCCAGCAAAAGGTTGGAAACATCCGGCTCACCTGGTGACGGTGTTGCCATGGTAACAGGGGCGTGTCCCAGAGTGGGCGTCGGCCCGCGAGGCAGCGGCCGCTCTGATTGGCTGGCTGTAGGGGGAGGAGGGGGGGAAGTGTCTGTCGCTGTAGAGGAGCAGCGGGACGAGAGGATGGACGGACGACTGGACGGAAAGACGACGGGTCGGTTAGGAACAAACTGGTAAACAGGACCGGTTAGTTAAAGATAAACTGGTAAACAGGACGGGTTGGTTAGGAACAAACTGGTAAACAGGGCCGGTTAGTTAAAGACAGACTAATAAAATTTCATTTTGTGTGCAAACATCAGAGTAACGGTGAAACGTGGTGGATGATGACATTAAAAGAAAACAATAAAAAAAATCCTGTAAAAGACTAAAAATCTCACAAATGATCTGTAAAAGTCAATCCAACAGAATACGGCAGCACCTGTCTGTGAAACACTGACATGATGTTGTCTTAAAAGCTTTCAGTAAAAGAAGGACTCCTCATTTGTAATCATACTAATAACTGACGTCGACATTTATTTAGCGCTGCAGGTGTCTCAGTGGTTAGCAC